TCTACAGGAAGTGTTTCGTGAGTTACATCTCCAGAAGACAACGGACGACCATCTATGACTTCTACGTGTACAGGTTTAGTTTTTTGTATTAATGATATTCTATGACATCTAACAAATTCTTCATCTAAAAAACAAGCTGAGGCTCCTGAATCTATCAAGGCAGAGGCTTTGTAATTATTAGGTCCTAAACGCACATCTATTATAAAACAAGGAGATGGTTCTGAGGAGAGGATAGGACCTTCATTAGAAGTTGTACAAGATTCCAGCCGCACGGTCCCTATTGTAGCTGGACGTACTCGTTTTCCGACATACTGTCTTTTTTGACAGCCGTACTCCTCATTTTGTAGTTACGTTGCTTCTTTGGACAATGTTGAGCAGTGTGCTTAGGTTCTCCACAATATAAGCACAATCCTTCTTGTCGACGACGAGACTTTTCTTGCTCAATAAGAGGTTTGAAACGTACCGCATCAATTTGCATATCCTCTACTTCTGAAGGTATGTGTTGAGGAGACGTCGGTGTTGTCATTGAATTGTAGTAACGTTGAGGCCTACTTGTGCGACTCTCGGATCGAAATTCAAAAAGTCGATTGTCGCACTTCACAGCAAAGTCAATTGCTTGACTCAATGTTTGAGGATCAGGTAAATTAAGCATCAATTTCTTTACCTCATATTGTAATCCGTAGAGAAATTGACTCACAAGTGCGGCATCATCCCACTTGATATCAGTTGCAAGTTGTCGAAATTGTGAAGCATATAATGTTACTGATCGATTGTCTTGTCGCAAAATACGGATCTTGTTGGTTGCAACACGAATTGCATCATGTTCTCCAAACATGGATCGAAACTCCGCCAAAAAAACCTCCAGATTATCCAATATTGGATCTCGTCGTTCAAGAAAAGATGAAAACCATGACAATGCTGAACCTGAAAGAAGTGTACCAATGAATCTAACTTGTGACCCTGGAGTTGGATAGCTCTGGGGTTGAAGTTCAATCACTAATTGGACCTGATTGATGAATCCTCGAAACTTGGATCTGGTACCATCAAACTTCTCGGGCAAGGCCACTCTCGGTTCTCTAACACTTGAAGGGTGTTCCATTCTGGGAGAAGGGACATGGTTTGGTGCAGATGTTGAAGCAGTCCCAATCATCTCTATATCTTCACTTCCTACCATTCTTGTTGCTCCTTGTGGTGGTAAATTGAGTTGATGCATCGCAAGCATTAACTCACTCAATTGTTCTTGCATCTGTGCCATTGCACTCTTCATTTCAACAAGCTCTGCCATAGTAGCACTTAGAAAAGAGAAGATGTCTAATAACGCTCAAAACAAATAGAAGAGAGGAATTGATAACAAAGAAAATACTAAGAACAATATCAGTTTAAAAGAGGGTAATCCGCAACTTCTAATGCGCTTATGTCTTATCAAGAAAAAAGGGTAATCCACTCTTAATCAAGAAAAGACAAAGCTCTCATATTGTAAGTGCACTCTTGTCAATCTGTCAAGGACAAGAACTCGATGAAAGCTAAAGAGTAAGTGAGACTTTTCTCAAAGAAATAGGACAAAATAGAAATATGTATATTAAGAAAGAAATTAGAATGGCTATTGCCAAAATACAAGAAAACTAGAGACCCTTGAAACTAGACTAGAAGCAAGAAAGGAGTTGACAAGAGTGAAGAGGGCTTCACTCTTGCCTCTATATATACTATCTAACTAGAAGCCACGTGGCGGTGTTCTATAAGACCTCCAATATATGTTGACTTTCTAGGCCACATGCCTTTGCTTGCAAGGCAAGTTTTCTATGGATGGACCACGTAGTTAGCTTGTTCTTTAAGCTTCCAACATGTGTGGCACATGGCTAACTTGTTGACCAAGTTTCTAACCTAAAAGTCAACTATAGACTCCTATAAAGTCAAAGCAGTGTCTATGAAGCTTCTAAGAAGCTTTTCTAGAAGATATTACACAATTAACCTACTTTTATCTACTTTTACATACTTTTATCTATTCATATAGGTAATTATATGTATGTCCGTGACACATACATATAATAGATTATTTTATATAAGTTCACTTATATGGTTGGCTCTCTTGTTTATGATGCAATGGCTCACACAAGGATAAAATGTATTTTTTCTTGATTCTTAAGAATCAAGAAAATGATAAGGTATTTTAGTCTATTTTCTCCATGCTTGTTCTTTATTTTATAAAAGTCTTAAAAACTATGATATTTTTAGAATATTTGTATAAAAAAATTATAGGATCCCAAAGTTTTCAATTAATAAAAAAGTCTTTGTAAATAATAATAATTGTTTGTCTTCTATTTTTCTTCTATTTCTATTTTTATAATATAAGTACAAAAAAATTATAGAATTCTATATAGTATTTTACTTCCATTTGAAATGATGATTATTTAGAATAAACATAATATATATATATATATATATATATATATATATATATATAAAGTGGATTGAATACATTAAATTAAAGACTACATTTGGAAATCATGACAAAAATATTTTCCAACTTATCAAAGATTTTTTGTTTCCATTATTTCTTTCTTCTTTCTCTTTTCTATTTAAAAGATGAAACATATGTATAGCTAATATTTATAGAATATTTTATTATCAAGATACAACTTCCAATATAAAATAATAAAAATATGGTTAAATAAATAAATATAATTATTAATACAATATCTCCAATTGATATCTCTACACCCAATTTGACCTCCTTGTAGACAACTAACTAATAATATATCTCTTTCTTTTGTGCATTTTCCTCGTTCTTCACTTCAAGAAATGGTGGTGGTTGAGAGGAAGATGGTAAATAGTTCATGAAAAAACAGGTCGTAAGCTTTTTTTTTGTTAAAAAATAACAAACTATTTGCCCCGAAATTTCTTTAATTCTAATTTTTATTTTTATTTGACTGCCAAAAAAAACTTTTTTTTAAATTTATTCTATTTTGGGACCAATATTGGGGTTAATTATTGGGCTGCCAAACATATCCTAAGCATAGAATCACGTTTTTTAGTCAAATTAATTCATGTCAAGTGTAACAATATCAGTTGGAGATATAAAATTACCAATTCTTTAAATAAAAGGATGCTATTGTGCAAAACAAATTTATCCATTGGAACATGGGGGGGGCGAATGTTCCCAACCATAGGAAACCCACGTTCTCCACTACAAATGGTTGTTTCTAGAGAAACGCGCCGTGGGACCCGGTGTGAGCAGGTATCCGGACCATAGTGGCCAAATGCTATTATACACAGAAGGGGATCTCACAGGTCTGACAGTGCGCTCTTCATTCGGTGAAGCGTCGTCTTGGTTTTGAATTCTGTTCACGAAATGAACGTGGAAGCAGGAGTTGAAATGCATGGAAGTAAATTTTGGGGTAGATGCCCGTTTCTCTGGGCTTACTTTAAAAATCTGGGTTGCTGCCCGGTGGGAGGCTAAGGTGGTGGAAGAGGGGCTTGACTTTGACGCTACTGTGGCTCCAATGCCTACTTTTGTAAAGAGTTTCTTTAAAATAATTGTCTATGAAGCTATGAATATCATCACATGATATTTAATTTGATAAAGATATAAGGATTTTGAGAAAAGAAACCTGCAGATGAGGTGGATGTTGAATGCCCTCAGATAATGATGATTTGTTGTCATTGCTCTTTTGTTGCTTATGAAATAATTGATTTTGTAAGCAATCCTTTTGATAGCTGAGAATCTTCATTTATGATGTCTGCATGTATACAACAGTAGGTTTCTGGAAACAAGGATTTATTTACAATTTGAAAGCTTTGGATTAGAAAATTCTCTGGGATCTTATGGGTGTGTGCATCGTATGTGGTTTTTAAGGAAGTACATAATTTGATGCTTTTGAACAGACAGCTCTTTTATGCATCGCTGATGCCTTTTTAATGAAAACAAGAAGCTTGAAGATTAGTATTTTCTAGGATTTTATAAAGTATTACCTCAAATCATACTGAAAACAATATCTTACAACAAATGAGTTAAAAGTAAAAACAAAATTTTGTTACACTCCCTGTCCACCTGCCCGTTTAAATCACAAACAATGCATATCACATACAATAAGATAAATTCCAGCATCAAAAAACGAATACTAGAATAATTTTATGGTACAGTCTTAGTTACTCTGAAATTGTAATTGCATAGGGATGATGAAATTTTTTGGGGGCCAAAATGGCATCAAGTCTGCTGATGCTGATAGATTCAAAACCAAAGGTTCAATTTGTTTGGAACATGTGACAAGTTTGTCCTAAATTTCAAGTATACATAAGACCAATTCACAACATCAGTGTACAAATATCGTGCAATCGTTGAATGATTGCAATCATCATCATTTTGTTTAATAATATAAAGTGTAATCTCATCAAATCCCTTGGGTTTGCAGAACTTTGCAAGACGTCTTTCCATACTGAGAGATCAACCGAGGAGCTGTTTTTGTCCACTCACTGGCACATATTTTCATACTAACCAGTTCTACACTCATGTGCACAAGTTTCCATTTGTGTGTAAACGTAAATATGTAAAGATAAAAATATAAAAGGAAAGTCAGCAACCACCAGGACCGCTAGGGACTGTGCAGATTTCAACGTCGTTCGCATGTCGATGCAGCGGCGGCCATGCACAGAGGAACTGGATTCACCGTGAGACTCTGCATAATGATTACAATCACAACGCCGAAGCTCTGCCCTGTTTGGCGTTGAGGAGCTAAAAAAAAAAAACAGCTTGTTGCCAGGAGACGAAAGCAGAAGAGAGGGCTTATTACTTGTGGGTTCTTTTGCCCCTTCAGTCCAAGTGTGGACCCAAATTTACACAACTCAGATTTCTTGGCGCTGGAAGTACTGTTGATGTGGTTCCAAGGTTCATCAACGGGTCCACCAGGGAGTGTGACCTGGGTACAGAGCCGAGCCTGAGGCGCCGCAGGATGTAGTAATGCTAGGGAATTATTGATGCTCAGGGGAACAGTTCCGCAGGCGAGATGGGGAGGTGGGGGTGGTGCCGGATTTAAGTAAGTCCCACTTGAGCAGTCTGGCCTTAAACTCGTATAATTAGCGTTAAGTGATGTATGCAAGCAGAATTGCGAATCAGGAGGGAAAGCTCGTCTGGTTGCGGCACTGTTCATCTTGCAAAGGTGGGAATCTCCTAGGTAACCTCTGGCACGCCCTCTGCGGCTTCCTTCATTTATAAACAACTGCACCAATCGTGTGGAGCGTTGTAGGTGGGTGGCTTATTCATGTCGGAAGTGTCCTGCCAGCTCCATTAACTTCGCTGCTTGTGGTTGCCGCTCCGTCTCGCTCTCATGGTCGAGAGAGAGATGACTAGGAAAGGTTTTCCCAGATTTAGAGCAGCCTCGCCTCTGGACGTGTTGACCGCACCTGCAGTCCCCTCCCTCCCAGCGCAGTAGAGATAAGGTGTTATCGTCCTGCCACGGCAGTTGATTGATTAGGAATAAGTACTTCAAAGCTATAGAACTGCTTTATGTGCTGAAAGGGTAGCCTGTTAGTCTCTCTATCTGCACATTCGTGCCTAAGGAATCAGCTGTCGAAGTGTTAAGGAGTGGAGGATCCGGGTGATCTACGATGACGTAAAGTAGAGGTTTGGAGGGCGATTCTGCACTCACTCAACCAGAGAGAGACAGTGTTGTTTACCAGAGAGATACATGTTTCCTGCGTCTGAGCATCGGTGTAAAATTGTTCAATTGGAGTGGGGATAGTAACTCAGCAAAATCTTACCGGTTTGGGTTTTAATCGTTCTATCATTACATTGTGATAGAAATGCGATATCCTCCCACACAACTGGACACCCAACTCTTCATGTTTTTGTTCCCCTGTTTGTGCCGAATGACCTTCCATGTACGGTAGGTCTTATCTTCCCTGATCGCAAGGATTGGGGGCACGTGTTCGAAGATTACTTTCTCATTTCAGAGTTAGATTGCATTCCTACGAGCGAATCTTCAGCGACGAGGGAGAGAGAGGTAAAAAAAAAACAAAAAAAAAAAAAAAAAAAAATTCTTACTGTTAGGATGCTCCACATACCAGTGAAAAGCATTGACACTTCAGCTGAGCAGTTTTCTACAGACATTGTGATCTGGTTTGTGCATCGTACACTGACTCAACGAACAGCTAGTGAAGATCAGAACGGCATCAACCAGGACTTTTGAGAAGGGTTTTAGATTCAGAGCAACCTCAACAAGAAGGATACGCCCAGTATTAGCCGTTATAAGACTAATCGCTTGGGACGCCGGTCACTACCCCGGGGATTTTATTGTGTGTCGCTCATCATCGCGTGCGATGCCGGACCAGGACCGAAGAGCCCAGTTTTTGCACTCCCTGGGTCATGGTCTGGAATCTGGAAAGCGGTGTTCCAGTTGTCCAGCCTTCAGGGTAACCTACCAAGCGGATTGCGTGTGCTGTGGGCGCAAGGTGGACCATCACGAGTTTTCCAAAGTCGATGCAGGCAAAGCACCCATGAATATGAAACGAGAGACTTCCACAGAAACCTATCCTCTGCTTGTTAGCCAACCTTTAGCTCAAGGAAACCAGGCTCCGCATTGCCGGAGGGCAGGCAGGAGACGACACAAGCTTTGCTCTATTCCCATTCTAAGAACTGCCAACAGTTTCCAAAGGTAGTTCACTTTAATTCCCGAAGCTTTTCAGCATGATGAGATATGTATTCAGCATTTCATAAGTTCATATAACTTGGCTTCTTCCTTAAAGTTTATTTCTAAAAGATTTGGTAATTGGTTCAATGAGCAGTCGACCTTGCGCCGAAATTGGAGATCGGGTGAGATCGATGACCACGCTTTCAGGCGGCTTCAAGAACTCAAAATTGATATCTCAGCAACCAAATCAAGTAGTAGTCAGGTCGTCTTCGTCGCGACTGAGCAAGTATGTACACCAAAGGAACTTAGGGAAGTTGTCTGCAGTGAAAGTTGGTGGTCACCATGAATTTAGAGGAGTTCGAACGCGCAAAGGCGTCAAGGGGTTTCTCGTGGAGATTCGACCTCCAAGGTGGAAGAGGACTATCTGGCTGGGCACCTACAGTACGGATGTTGAGGCTGCAGGAGCTTTTGATGCTGGTGAGCAACTTATCATCGAAGTACAGATCCCTTTAAAGAAAGCAGCTTTTATCAATTCAAACAATAGAAGTTGTGAATCCTGATGCTTTGCTGTGAATCTGTTGTCATGCTTCCATCTTTAGGTGTTTTCTATACCAACAAACCTGACAAGAAGTACAATTTCCGTGATTTGGAGAGAGAATTTCCACCGCTGCCGCCTCATCTGCGGCTAGACAATGCTGAAAGCATGAACGAAATCAAGTGCTTTGTTCAGAAGCAAGCTAAAGAAGCAGCGGCGGCAGCCCGTCGGATGTGGAATAATGGAGTTCAACTGCATCAGGATGAATCAGTTAAGGAGATGTCAGAGGCTGAAGTAGCAGACACTGATACCTCCAATGAATCTTCCGAGTTATCTAGCCTCTCTGAAGATCTACCTAAAACTGCTGAAGTCGGATTTGAAGGTGAATATGGAGACATGCCGCTGGACATGGAATACCTCCGAGGCGCACAGGAATCAGATGATTGGATAGACGAACTAATGCTGGAGCAAGACGGCCTGCCGCAGCTATGAGCCCATAAGAAACATCCAGTATCAACCAAGCGTTTGGCAACCTTTCTTAACAGTACCTCCAACACACGAATCACGGAGTCCCCGCCGTCTCAGCGCTGCGTGGTTGTACCATCCTATCTCCATGTTGTTTAGAGTGAACCATAGATTCGGCATCACCGTTAAGCTTTTCCACGTCCCGTTTAACTGCTTAGAATCAACCATCGTTCGGATTGTCGCATGACAGCTCATCGTGTGGACATGAGAGAGCATGCTGAAGTGTTCCAGGTGCAACACAGGCCCTACAATGCATTAATTCACCTGTGAATGGTATCATCCAACATGAAGCTCATGAGTTGATCGCACAGGTTATTTGTAGATCCACAGAATGTGTCTTTAGAGCAACACCTACTCATGATAACAGGTTATCCATCGTAGGCTGTCCTGTGTGCATAGCACATTGATGAGAAGATTTAGCAGACTCATGAATAACCGAATCATTATAATCGCCTCTCTACGTATATATATATATATATATATATATTGGTACATACACACTCCTAGTACCATTCTCTTGGACTGTAATCATTTGTCATCTCAACATTGCTCCGCTCTCTCCAGTGCATGTTTAACTGTAAAGATGCTTAATCTGCTCGATTTCTATTTTGGTTCTGTTACAGTTTGTAGTTTGATGGTATCCATCATTTGAATGAATGGGTGAAGGGGTTGAGTGTGGTGCTTAAGACATGACACATCGTGTGGACATGACGCATCCTGCTTATACTCAGTCAATGTCACTACGTTAAATTATCCACCTGTTGAGTAAATGGATAAAGGTATCACTATCTTACACTTTGTTATCTTATTTTAGTTGCTGAAACAGCCTTGAATGCTGTAGTTAATTGTAGATTTAGTCGGGATTTTGGACAATATACCTATGTGACAAAGATGCAATCGTTTGAATCCTAGTTTGGCAGTTTCTGACAACTTGCATGGTACTTGTGCCATGTGAGAGTACCATGGCACAACGATATTTTCAGCACATCATCACAAGCTTCCAAAACTGTCCTCCCACTGACCTTGCAATCCATCAATGCATTTCACCCTACTGTATTTTAAGATAACCACACAAATTAATCTCAGGAGTGACAAATATTCATGCTAAAGTGTTGATTGTAAGATGAATTGCACTCCAACCAAGGTGGCAGAAACGGGGAGCAGTCGCGAGGATGATGGGCGTTTCCTGCCAACTCTTGTTTCCCATTGAAGAAAGACCTGGTCCACATTTGGATAAACTACACAAACAAGCATTTCCGGTAGAGAACAGGAAATTGAAGCACCCTATGTAGGTATGGACGCAAATCGGAACATCTCAATGAAGCCTCCGAAATACACTAGAAGTCGTTATCATGACGAGGCAAAAGCTAGCCTCGTTCCTGCTAGATCAAAGCATGCCAAGACATTTACAGGAGGCAGAATCGACCTCCGAAAATGTGATTATACCAGCTTAACCATATCTGTGCTGGGGTCACAAATGTTTCTCAATGAGTGCTTAGATATTAAGCTTTCTCATGTGCGCTACTACAACACCAGAGTTCTACTCTAAAGCTTAAAAGACGCCTACAATGTGAAATACTTTCTATCTGCGACAGATCGTTATTTTTGACAAATCCCTACTTAGGAAGTCCATCTGACTTCGTTCAGACATTAAGTTCATGTCTTGATCTACGAGTTAAAACCTCAAAGAATCAGAAAAGATACTGAAACAATGCTGGAGATGACTAAAGGAGTTCGAAGCTTCAGCAATCAATTCTGCGATATGCGTTCGAAGCTTCAGCAATATCAAGATCCTGTTGCAAGGATAACATACTTTCAAGATTGACTTTCCTGGTTGTTGACCTCGTCTCCACGACTGTAACGTCTGGAGGGGCCTCTGCTTGGAAACAAACTGTGATAACTGTGATGTTGTCTTGGGCATTTCGCTTCAGAGCCTCCTCTACCAGTGCTTTAGAGCATTTCTCTGGATCATTGTGCTCCCTTAACTGCCTACGCGCAAAGTCAATAGCAGCACTGCTAGTGAACACTTCCCACAAGCCATCACATCCCAGAAGTAAGAACTCATCATCTTCAGAGAGTTCCAATGTCTTAATTTCAGGCTCTGCAATCACAGGTCCAGTATCGTTGAGACCCTTTACACCTTGCATGTGCCAATCTCCAATTGCGCGGGTGACTGTCACCTGCCCGTTCACGTATCCATCGCTAGTTACAGTCCCCCCTGCTAATTCAATGCGCATCCTTTCACCCTCAGAATTGGGAGCATGGTCGCTGGACAATGGTACCGTCTTGCCCCTCCTACATAACACTGCCCGACAGTCACCTGCATTCGCCACCAGCAAGTTCCTGAAAATTTCCCACATCCCTCAATTTAGAATATTTGAAACGGCTCTCCTCTTGAAAAGATAAACCTTAACAATGGGCCATTTGCGAACCTTAAGGTGTACTCTCATTATAGGTAAGAACATTGGTAAGCCGATGGAGCACAGATTAATCTATTTTGTGGATTTTTATTCGCTCAGACTCATATGCTCTTAATTAGATGATAGAGTCCTTACATAATAAAGCGTTAAACTAAATAGGGACTATATTTAACTAAGTTGAGCTTCACGGGATGCTGTATATCTGAAGATTAGATGGAGTGGAATCGAGTATATTTGATTATAAATAAACAGGCCATGATGGCCATTATAGATGCCTGCTTGTTAACAGTAAGTGTAACTGACAGCATTAGAATAGATCGCATTATTGACTAAAACAGATGGTAGTAGTATTACGAAAACCAGATGGGCAGTTCAAGAACCATATGCTGCCATTAAAGTAACACAAAAATCATCTCCAGCATCTACGAAAGGATTCTAACCCGGAGGAGTATGTTGAGGGAAGATTGAACTGCTCTATCTGTAGGCATTTGCTGAGCAAGTGCTTGAGCATAAGGAGTCATTTAGACTTCAGTTCTCGGAAAAAATGACATGAACGTTGCTAATAGGATGAGCAGATCATTGGTTCGCCTGATAAGACAGTAGTAAAAGTGGGCGATTGATAACTTCTTCACTTTAATGAAACATAATAAAATAAATAAACTACCTGGATTGTAGAAGAGCGATAAGAGCAGTAGTTCCTGAGTGAAGATTGTGGTCCTGTTGACAAGCTTCCAAGAAGTCCCTATCGAGCCTGAGGAACTCTTCTTTCACAGCCTCCTCTACCGACGTAGGGAACAGTGCATTCTGAAGTATGAAAGACAGCAGGTTCTCTTTTGCATACAAAGCTGCCGCACTGCCATCATGCCCATCGAAGACCTGCTTGGTCATCAATAAAACCACACAAGCCTGCTCAGCTGAGTAAAATTGACAGTGATTTCAAGGCGTTTTCATAAGTGTAACACGGCAATGAAGTAAAATACCAGTATAAATTAATTAAATCCTCCAAACATTAATAGAGAACTGTTAACTTATTGAGCACTGGAGACTCCCGGCTGATTCTCGCACTCTTCACGATGTTCTCTAGCGTCCACGATTTAATATTTTGAGTTCATAGGCAGGAACACTTTAACGATGAGTCGATATAAGTTAATAGAAGTCTACGTCGAGCACCATTTGCTCAGGGTTTCCGGCTACAATCACAACACTACGAGCATCCTGTGAATCCGACAAGATTGATAATCACACCCACCCCATAAAATGCACCCCGAGATCGCAGCTGATCGTGAAGATCGTCTATGCAGATATGAGCATCTTCCAATGTTTGCCTGATGCCACGGTCACTCCATCCTCCAGACCGGTAAAGCGGAAAATATACGAGATTCCTACCCGCAGTTGCTATATCTTGCTCGTTATGCACCTGACAATCAGGCCCTTGCCGATAATCAGTTTTCATCCACAAATTGCTGAAGGGTTAGAAGGAAAAAGAATAAGAAAAATACTGCAAGCGTAAAGTGACGAAATGAAGATGTAAAAGCGAGTACCATTCTGATCACACTGAAATCATATCCACAAGAATATCACTCTTACAAGTTCGCTTTGAAGGGTAAACTGCATCACAATCATGACACAATGAACAATTATGAGAAGCGGAAAAGGTGCTACGGCGTAAAAACAGCCAGTTCACTGATTATGTAAACCATACCCGTCATTTATCACAAGTGCTCCCTGAAATGCGTTACATGAAAGAACTACGACAAAGGGAAAGAGACATACTTCCCAAACCATGGAATACTCACTCAGAATGAAGTGTATATTATTTTTTTAAATAGAAATAAAAATACATTAACCATTACGAGCTTATGCTGCGATCTGCAACCCCGATTACACTCACAGTGCGGATTTCGAAAATTGCTTTTCAAATGTAACAATAAAGATATCTGAAGTCCCAAAAGTGCTGCCAAAGCCACAGTACTTGTCGACAAAATCCCAGACACAAACACGTGAAGGTCCTCGACTGGCAAAATCATCAATTGGAGGATTCTTTAAACCCATTTCCATTTCCCGAAGAAACAGCCCATGATTTCAACACACATGCACCGACCAAATTGCAAGGGAAAACCTGTTACGAGACCCAACGTTCACTCAAACTTTCTCATCATTACCACAAACTGCAAATAAGAGCCATTTGACCCGAATCTCCACATCAACAAGAATCACTCTGCAAAGAATTTCGTGCGCGCGGGTAGAAAATAAAGAAATAAATGAACGCCTACTGCTCAGCAATCGATTTTGATGACCAGCTTCGGATAAAACGATATTAAATTCCCTCCAAGAATAAGTAAAGCAAATTGCAAGCCACAGATTTTGATGCCTAAATAACAATCACAGTAATAATAATAATAATAATAATAAACGAAACCCTAAATTAATCCAGTGAATAATTCCTCAAAGGTCCAAACATGCGACCCCCATTGTTGTACTCTACCGCATAAGGTAGTGGTTATCAGGCGTTGACAGCCCTACAGTACCCAAAATTTCTTCCCTCCCAGTTAGCTCAAAAGCAGAATCAACCTCTTTGAATTTAATTTAAAAACTCCACCGACTAAAATCAACTCAAGGTACTCCAAACCACGACCGACCTAATCTCCATAACCTGGAATTTTACCCCATACGCAAGCCAGTATTTTTTTTGTTTCTAGTAAATAAAAATACGAAAATGCCACTACACCCTCAGTCGTCAATACTATAACTGAGGTCCAAAGCCTACCACACACCGACACCCGAAACTCCGAACTTTGCTGTGTGCCCCCAGGACGGTTCTCCTCTCAACCCTTATCACGATACAATTCAGTCCGACCCACGAAGCGAAAAAGAAATTTACACCGAACCCACAAGGAGAAAAACAAAATCGAGAGGTAATAACAAATCACAGCGGCCTCCCAGCACGGCACCGATTTCCCCTGATCCACCGCGGGCTCTGACATACCTGCAATTCCGGCCAAGTGGATAACGAGCACACACGAGAGGGGGTGCGAGGCTAGGCTATGAACTGAGAGAGCCCCTCGCCACGGCTTGCTTGACAGAATGGGAGACAGGAGAGGAAGATTGCGTCGAAGCCAGGGATGGTCCCTCCCTTAGGGATTATCGCGACGCCGAGATGAGGTCCATCATTCAGACTGCAGATGGATTGCGCACCGCAACAGCAACAACAACAACGCCGTAAGCGAGGCGGAGAAGACCACTAACAAACATTGATTTTAACAAAACCAGCCCTGAATTTCCACCCGCCGCGAGCCTCGCAGTCTGCGCGTAATGTCTATCAACGCGACAGCTAGTTGTTCGAAATCCTGGGGAATGTACCCGTATCCTGTTCTATTCGTATCTCATATGTTTCAATTTTTCGTACTCGATATAATATACGGAGAATCTATCGTATTTTCTGACATTCTTGGAAACCACGATATTTAAATGATGCGACACGTGGCCGGCGTTCAGGCGCTGATATGTTTTACCTTGTCTGGGGTGTGTGGGGTAAAAGTATGTGTCTACTTTCCCGTTAGGGGGGAAAGTGGAGGTTAACTTTGTTGTGTTTATTTTTTAATATAAAACTCAAAGAAATTTCAATATTAAACAACTAGAAAATTTGGAATTTTTTTTAAAAGATAAAAAAAAGTGATCATTATTATATTCTAAAAAATAATTTACATATTGTTTATTGAGCTTTTATTTCTAATTTTTAACACTATAAACGAGATGAAAGATAAGTATAAAATTTAGACAATAGAAAGATTCTTTGTGCATATAGTCCAAATAATACTATAAGCATGTAAACAAAGTTATATGGTTAACATGTACATATATTAAAAAGAAGCAAGATAAAATATGTAATGAATAATAAAAATTAAAATTAATAGTTTACAAAAATTTAAAATTTATTTTCTTTTAAAAAATGAAAAGAAAAAAAAAATAGACATCTATAAATTAATTTTAAAATATCTTTATTTTATTGATTTATTAATTTTATTGGTTTTTAATGATTTTATTTTTATTATCATTAGTATAAATAAATATTAAAATTAATTATAATTTTTATTTTAAAAAATTTAAAAACATATGATTTGTATTTTATTAATTTTTCTATTAATAATTTTATTTTAAAATCATTCTACAAAATATCCTACTTAATAAAATTATTTTCTAAAATGTTCAAATTTCATTTTAAAATCTTCACTCCTTGCTTCCCTCCTCTTCTTTCTTCTTCTTTTATTTTATCTCTCAACATTCTTTACTCTTTGCAAATAAGAAATTTTACCATTTCACAATTATGAAGTATTAATGAGTTTTTAAATATTTATTTTAAATTAATTTTAAAAATCAAGAAGTTGAAAAAACAAATTATTATTAAAATAAAAAACTACTATCAAGGACATGAATCACAAAGAACCAATAGGTCAATACACTCTTGTGTAACTAGAAGAGAGTAGATAATCACTCAAAGATGGTATAATATTAAAATTAGAATAGCTATTAGCAAAGACAAAAAGACTAGAAATTTTTGAAACAAAAATAGAAACAAGTAAGGCATTGACAAGAGTAAAGAAGGCCTCATTCTTGCCTCTATACATACTATATAACTAGGAGCTACGTGATAACATTCTATAGAACATCCAATACATGTCCAACTTGAGGAACGTGTTTAACATGTAAGACAAGTTTCCTATATATGTGTCACATGACCAACTTGTTGGCCAAGATTTTAACTTAATAATCATCTACAAATATGTATAAAGTCAAATTTGCCTTTGTGGAGCTTCTAAAATGTTTCTCCATAAGATATTATCAAATTTATTTACTTACTTCTATCTAATTTATTTTATCTAGGTAAATATGTATGTCTATGATAATTGCTAGGTAGAAACCTTCCTTTTATTACGTGGACACCCTCTATGCCACAACAAAACAAATATACCACTACTATAAGTTTTTTTTAATAAGTTGGATACAAATGAGGCAAAAATAATTAAAAAAAAAAAAAAAAAAAAAAAAAACAACAACAACAACAACAACAACAACAACAATCCATAGCATATGAATATCAACAATATAAAACTAAAATAAATAAATAAAAAAGAGTCTCTACATAGTGGTTCTAATAGGTGGATACCTCTTTTTTATTGTTTTTATTGTTTGCTTTAATTAGCTTCTGTATTGCTAATATTCATGTGTTGTGGATTATTATTTTTGTTTTGATTTTTTTAATATTTTTTATTACTGTCTAACATGTAGCAATGGTGTATTATTGATGTGGCATAGGAGAGGAGAAGATGTTGACAAAGTAAAATAAATAAATAAATAAATAAATGTCAATCTAAAAGTTCTTTTAAAATAACATAAAAAATTTAATAACTAATGTTATATAAGATTTGAAGAAAAACTAAAGAACATTTTGAAGTAATACAATGATGATGATATCATAAATTACATCTAGAAATATTGAGATTACAATCAAGATAAAAGTTAGATTTTGATTTAAATTTCAATAAAATATTATTACAAATTTCATAATAACAATTTTTTTTGGATCAATTATTCTACATCAATACATGGTTATATGATGGTACAACATACGTGTAAGGTTTCAAAAATTTGATGTACATTATAAATATAAATTACAAAAATAAATAAATAAAGGTTTCAAAAATTTGATGTACATTATAAATATAAATTACAAAAATAAATAAATAAAGGCTTCATATATAATTAAAAAATACTTTATTTTATTTTAGATTCTTGTTATTATTTATATTTTAATTTTTTTTAGAAACTCTTATAAAAGTAAATTATTTTCCATCTAAAAAATATTCAAAATTTTAATTATAATATAACCAATACATTATGGACAATTGTAATTCTAGCAATTCAAACTTTACAACAGTAAGCACTTGACCTGGCACACTATCGCTACACCTCACGGTTTTGCAAAACACAATAAATCTAGGCAAGTTACTATCTTTCAACCACAATAAAAAGAGATTTCAATGAACTAGTTGACCTAGTTTGCAAGTTGTTATTATTAGCAATTGAACAAAATCTCTTTAATATTCATGAAGCTTACTCGATCTCCAGTCAATGGGAATTCTTCAAGGAAAACAAGAATCATATTTTACAGTATACTAATTGGATGTAGGCCCTTCAGATCCCTGCCGCTTCCGAAGATTCCAGTGCAAACCATCTCGAACACTTTGAAGAAAATCTGTGGTTGATTCAATATCACATGCTGCAGGAACGGGCCATGCAGACATGTGACATAACAGTGCATCACCTTCATTCAGCTGTTGCCTATCCTTTCCATCAAAACTTGCCCAAGCTTGTCCCCTACTATTCCGGGGCACCTGCACATTACATAAGAAACATTTGTGTCAAACAATTAATCCAACTAAAATCTGCTTGTCACAAGCTACAGTCTATATTTAGAGCGATGCACCAATCTAAGATATGTCATTCAGATAGGTCGTGTTACCAACAAGAATTGCAGCTGCTGCAATAACATCCGTTGCCCGGACTTGCAGTGGAGAACATTTCACCAATGAAAGTTGAACAAATAAACTTACCTGAACTCTGATTGTCACATACTCGGGCAAAATCAGAGGCCTGAAAGATAACGAGTGGGGACAAATTGGTGTGAACAGAATTCCTGGAACCTGCAACATATGACGAAGAAAAGACGTTACATCTTAATATAGATAAACATAAGACAGAAATAAATGTTTATCAGAGCCAATTCTGATCTTTCGTTTCCAACCAACGAAGGTGCAAATAAATAAGAGAACCTGACCTGGCTGCTATATATTCCATTGCAACCAGAGCTTTGTGGATGTTTGATATATTGTGCTGATTTGCTATTCAACCGTATGTATGCGTAAATGATGTCTGTTCAGCTGCAGTTTATATGGTAATCTAGGTTTCAAGCAACGGGACACAGCATAGCCGTCTGGGAAAAAGAAGGGAAATAAATTGTGTACAATTTTATTCGAATTAAGTTATGAGCACAAACCTGAGGGTGAACCATAGAACCACCAGCAGCCAAAGAGTATGCAGTGCTTCCCGACGGAGTCGACAGAATAAGGCCGTCTCCTTGGACGCTAGTGAGGAATATGTCATCACAGTAGCATTCCAGATTTGTAAGAAACGATGACATCCCTCGGTCAATAGCAATCTCGTTCAACACCAGATGGGTCTCTTCACACGGATCATCACCTTCTTTCACCGCTTCTGGGTTCCGGATAATTTGACAATGAAGTCGATGACGAAGAGTAATATACACAGGGCCTTTTATCAATGTTTGCAAACAGTCTTTATACCGATCACTTCCTGTAGATTAAGGTTAAGGATAAACGGAAAACTAATGCAGGCATGAGAAAATAAAGATGAATAAGTTTAGGGTGGGAAATTGAAGATACTGATTCTAAGCACTGATTTTGCTGCAGAAAACTTCACAGTGGAACGCATAGCATCTGCTAAGAAAAAGACAGTGGCACAAAACAATCTCACAGCTATCAAGGACAAAACGAGAAAACTAGTTTTATAAAATAGGATACGAAATGGTGTCATAAAACCAAGAGAGCCCATAGAGAAAGATACGACAGGAGGCACGGGACCCTTGAACATATTCGCAGCCTACACACAGCATCATAGTTCCATCTGGTTGAAGTGAACAGAAAAACGTGTTGGCGAACAAGATAGTTCATAGAAGCAGAATATAGAGTTCTACAATAAATACAATAAATGCAGGATTGATGTAAGGTTACCCTTCTTGAAGCATCAAAAACCATCTCAAGCCCATAACCTCCGCTTTAAAAATACAAGATCTGAAGAATGATTGATAACACGAGCACACGAAGGTGCAACAAAAAGAAATAGAAAAAACTGACAATGCATACCCAAACTTGTATCACAGAAATTTTTCACAAATATGTGAGATGGTTTAAAAAAAATACCCAGAGTACCGTCCCATCACCGCCCAACGTAATTACCAAGTCCACTTTAGTATGAACCTCATGAACTTCTTGCTCTATGAGGAGAACCAACCAACACAAGAGTGTAAGCACCATATGCACAAGCATGTGAGTTAGTCCAATCATGTCCAGAGACGCTGAATTTGTAGACAGTAGCACTAACTGTAGCCCTTGTACGCGTTAGTCAGATTTCCTTTCATCAAAGAAGTTAATCATATAAAAAAAATGACTGGAAATTGATGGTCTTCTGTAGAATAATATGCAGGCCCTTGATCCTGAACTCACGAGTAACGACTATCTAGATAACCACGTTCATGATCTCCACCATCATACGCACCTGTTTCACAAGCTTGAACGCAACGGAAGTAGGAACTGTCATCCAAAAGTTCCCTTTTCATAGAAGGCTCTACGTATACTCCAATTCCTTTTTCCTCCTTTAACCACCTACAGCAAGACAAGTGCATCCGGGAGTGAGTAATAGGTCACTACTCCAGCTATAGGCATTAACAATGCTTCATGATTCTACATGTGGCAGGAACAGGATGACAAACCATCTATCCTGAAAAACGTGATTCCTTTCCACATTCACTAGGGTCACTGAACACATCGTGCATGGTCCTCCAAAATTTATTGAGACGTAGCAAGGTCGCAGCGAACCGAGTCGTAGCTATGATGCAGTGGTAGAGAATTCAAGGTTGTTTATTTGTATATCAGTTTGTATATATTTTGCCTCGGATCAATCAGGCTCTACAACTACCCTACTTTTATTTTCACTAACGTACGGTAAACACCAGTTGCTAACGTTTTAATTATAAAGCTAAACTTGAAAGATTTTGTTACTAGGTGGCAGGCTCACGGTGTGTGCAGGGGGAAGCTAGTTGATTAAAATGTTAAAAATATCAGTTAATAAAATAATTTTGACATCAGAAACACCCACTTTGAGCAAACGATTATAAGTACCAGTTGAATTAAAAATCGAACCAAATTGTTGTTAGCATGCGTAATACAGCCTCCCCAGCAACTTATCGCAGATTGGTAAAAATTCACCTGATCATCTCTTTGCAGATGGCAGTGACGTCTGAAGCACTGGGCTTGCACAATATAAACACCGACTGAGGAGGAGAGTTCCACACCAGCGTTATCTGAAATAGTTCACGTAAAAAGTAAATACGATGATTTACAAATTAAAAATTAAAATCCTCGCTTAGACATTGAAATATTTTGGATGAGCTTCAGAGCTATACAGTTTTACTAAACATACAATTTGACAAACTGACTATGCAATACGCTTCCATCAGTTTCCCGCAACTTGCACTAAACAACACAAGGCATGGTGGACAAATACCCTTAACAAGACAAAAGCAAACACCATACCTGTTTGCTACTCCGACTAGCTGTTGTGATATTTCCACACTCGAAGGACACAACATCATGCGTGTGATTTCTTGAATCCTTCTTGCCCGCACAGCCCCATTGTAATCTGAACGACGCCTGTAAAAAAACAAACAACAGTGTCATTAGGGAGACGTACCAATGGACTGAAAGGTTACTTGAAAATAGAGTCGAGAAATTCATGAACCAAAAAATGGAGATGATATGGAACGTCCTACAAAATCTCACCTTCTCTGCGGCTTGTGGTGCTCGAGTCAACAGCGACATGTTGCTAGTTGAACCGCTGTGACTGCGCAATATTTGTTGAGTGCAGATGCCTTCTCTCTTGCAACACTCAGAATTGCTATGAGGAGGCAACCATCCATTCACAGAACCAACTGGACTTTCTTCGCCATTCTCAGGGTCCGATTTCTCTGAATCCAGCGGTTCAGCTGGACTCCAAGAATCTGATCATAGAAATATATTTAGAATACTAAAGTAATGAGCTTAAATAATGGGAACTGTATTGAATCTTCACAAATACACAAGGACGGCTACTGTTTTCAAGCAAAAACACTATGAAAGCAGGCCGCTATTGTAGGATTCCGGGATGTTTGACAAACCAGGAGGTGATTGGTCTATGTACTGCTCTCTCTTTTTCTGCTTCTGCTCCAAAATAGCAGCCCTCAGATGTTCCATCTCGTACTTCCGCCTCCACTCAGCAGCTTCGTCTAGAGCTCTAGCTTTACTTTCAGATACCTGCCGAAGGGCCTTTTTAACAGCTACAAATTTCAAAACCATTGTAAGAACCCTGGTAGATAACCTACACAGAATAAAGGAAATTCTAACAAGTAATGAACAAAACATAATAATCTTAAAATAAAAAAATGCAAGCTAGTGTGTTTGCGGTTCATGTGAGGTTGCCGAAGAACATGATATACAAACTTCATAAGATTAAAAAAAGAGGTATTTGTTCTTTACCTCGCATGGCCTCGGAAAACTCAACCAGGTGGGCGTCACCATCTCCAATGCTTGTTTCCTGAAGGTGTTCTTCCATTGAGCGCTGGGAGCATGCATGAATCGAACCATTCTGACGCTTTCCACAATCCAGGTCCATCTGTGGCAGCTGCGAAGCCAACACATTCATTTTGAGAATGCACAAGTTGGCCCAAATAATCAAAAGTGTCTATGATCAACTCAATGCTTTTATACGATACTGCCTTAGTTCTCTTTGTATTACTAACAACAGTACAAATCGTCTCGTGGAAGAATTCTTAGGAAGTGGTGATGGTTGCAGTACGTCCGGCAATAGTGAATTCTCGAGTTCTGGAGCACCTTAGCTTTATGAAAAAAAAGTCTGGGTAAACAGAGCACTTCTTCTCTTAAATTCACTTCAGGTTCGATTTAAATGCCAGAATGTAGAAACACCCTCAATATATATAAAGCTCAGCTGCTGGTCATGCTGGTAGAAACATGATCGCATGTCATCAACATTTTTATGGAACTTTGAACGTATCTCACAATGCATATTTCAAAGAATTTTCATGATCACTCTTCCTCAGTAGCATCACAACACTATAAGTCTTTGAAAAGTCAAGCCTATTTTCGGAACACTTGTTTCCTTTGAATAGTCACAATAGTCGTCTTGATCAGGCATCCAGTTTTTATTCAAATGACTCCAAGTTCACCTTCTGGCATTAAGTCTACACCGATATTCACTACTTCCATCAACCATTGTGGGAAAAAAGTCCGTAAGTATACAGAAGGTTGTGATAAGCTTCTCAAATCGACGTTAAAGCTTTCAAAAACAGGGCCGAAATAAAAGCAGAAATTCTTTCCATGAAAATCAAATTTTTGAATTCACGTCCAAATTGAACACTGAAACTCTTGAAGGGGGAAAATCCGACGTACATGGCTATCCCTCAACCCCCAATGTAAGGGAAAGAGATTACTGTAGCCTTGCTAGGCTAAGAAAAACGAGTACAAAGAAGGTCCAGGTGGCAGTATGAATTTATGTACCTAGAAAATTCAGAGAAAGGGCCTGCACCAAAAAATGTACTCCGCCGTCTCCTTCCCGACTGGCAAACACCGTCCAGGCCGCAAGCTCCAAAGGTTAAGTACTCACAATCCAGATTCAGATAAACGAAGTTCCTGCATGGTTTGCAAAAAAGAAAACAATCATGGATACATAAACTCGCTATCATGTCCTGAGAAGCCTTAGAAAAGAAATCGCAGATTGGTCACGAAAAAAAAAACACCCCCAAAAAAAAAAAAAAAAAAAAAAAAAAAAAAAATGCGCCCGCGGAATCCTGAAAAATTCTGTCGAATGCGGCAATGCAGCTTACTGTGAAAAAGCCGCAACCCTCTGGCAAGAGCATGAATGGGCATGCAACTCAATGAAAGATGCGTTTCCTCCAAGTATCTACCCAAGGGTGAATGACAGAAATCCTCGAATCCCAGACCAATCACATCATCACTAGACCCCAATTGAGTGAGAAAAAAAACCCTAAATCTCTTTGATCTCACGCAATGTGGTTCAGACCCAACCCGCCACAAAAAAACCCACCCAACAATCCCTCGTCCTTAACCAACACCAACCTCACCACAAATCGTCAACTTCTCGCATCATCACCATCATCTCAGTTGCAGACGGACCAAGTATAAAAACCCAAAAAAGAATGCGTTCGCATACTCCTCAAGTTACGTCTGCATGCACTTGATGGTCGGAACCTCCAACCCAACAACGCGAAAGAGAAAAAAAAAAAAAAAAAAAAAAAAAAAAAACCGAAGAAAAACCCGAACTGTAGCACCCCCTGCAAAACAACCCAAAAAAAAGATGAAAGAAAAATGCTCAGGAAATTGGGTTTTGGGTGACGCAATGAGAAGGCACCAACCTTGCACTGAAGGCCAGGAATCAAGCAAGCAAGCAAGTAAAGCAAGACTTGCCAAATTGCACTGAAGGCCAGGAATCAAGCAAGCAAGCAAGCAAGCAAGCAAGTAAAGCAAGACTTGCCAAAAGGGGTGATGGAATTCAGGCTTGCTAACATTCAGCAACTCGCCGCGGCAGACCAAAAAAAGTGGCTCCAGGGAAGAGCACCTTTTCGAAGCACCGCGAAAAAGCAAAAAGTGGGGAATCCTGCCAAGTGGCACCTCGTTCCTGACGTGGCAGTCCAGATTAGCATGTAATCTGTGTGACGTGGAAGTCGTAGCCTAGTATGCGCTGCTGTGACGTGGACAGTCTCTCCTCTTGCGTTGCTTCCTTTCGATTCCTTTTGACTCTAAAATTTAACTTTAGTAATGGACTTGACCACTTATTTATACTTAAGTATATGACATATATATATATATATATATATATATATTCAAATCAATTGGAGTAAAAATTATAATCTATCTTCAAATCAATTGGAATAAAAAAAAATTTAAAAAATATGCTTTTTGCAATGATATAAGTTGCTCATGTTGCATGTCTTCCACATGGTGCATGAAGATATCTTGTCTTTGTTGAATTTTAGTTGTTCATTTAATGTTTTTTAAACTTTGGTAACTGTCAATTCTATAGGATCTTAAAGACTCAAATACCATGCCCAACACAACAAAGGTTCTATTTTGAGGTCATATTGTTGCTGCAAGGGAGTGGGTATGGTTATTATTTGTGACTGTTGCGGTATTTCATGTTGATTCTCTTGCAATTGTTATCAACAACTCAACATTGTTAATTTTTTCTAAATTTGTGTGGATGTTGATTAAATAGATAAATTTATTAAATAAGCATATATTTAAGAGAATGTTGAATAGATCCACACTTTTACTAAATTGACCCACTCATCCTAACTATCATGAAAAGAAAAGAAATGACCTCTAGATTTATTTCTCTATTATTGGATTTGGAACCATTCAAAACCAACCACATTTATCATAATTACCATATTCTTCATCATGGGTAGGTTGTTTTAGTAAAAATCTATATCTATTTAACATTCTTCTATATTTATGATAAGTTTATGTTTATCTTTATAACTAATAAAAGATATACTTCTATTGCATTTATATGATAATGACAAGATTTAATACAAAGTTGTGGATTGCAAACAAAACAAAAGAATTGGAAGTATTTTCACCTAAACAAATATGTGGTCTAATTTTTCATCAATTAACTTGAGATATTTTGATGTTTCAATTAGAAAAAAGATGTAAGTATTAGATATATATATTATATTGGTAGAACATTCCTTTTAATTCTTACCAATATGATGATAAAAACTTATTATATTAGCAACTTAGAAGATTAATACATTGCATGTGGTAAAATTCACAATGTTGTTGTAACAACTTATATTGCTTGAGTAAATAGATTTAAATTAAAGTAAGTAGAAATATAATAATTAGATTATATATGTATATATTGAATATTGAAGATTTTTTCTAGAAGTAGATTGAATCTACATGTATTCATAGATGCACAATGTACTTGTAAATAGAAGTTATCTATTGTCTTCTCAATTCCTTTTTCTTTACTTTGATCATAATTCAAGACTCATTATTTCCTCTATACTTGACAAATACAATTCTAACATTTTCAAATTATATCTATTGTCTCATCTTATTTCTTTGTTTGATTGAATACACGTGTGTTATTTTATAAAAAGTCTTTGATAAGTATTGTTAATAATTGCAAACCTACTACATACAAAGAATTGTATAAAAAGAAGTAAGATCAACCTCTTCATATGCACAATATGACCAATAAATAAATAAATAAAATAATATAAAATTTTATCAATGTCTTTTTAATAATTAATTAATTAAAATTTATTTAATTTTCATATTTAATAATTTTTTTCTTTTAAAAAAACCAGCTTAAAATATGTAAAATTATTAAATAGTTTATATTTTATATTTTTTAAAATAAAATAATATGTAAATATATAAATATATTTTAAATATAATATTTTATCTATATGGATTTTAAAAAAAGTATTATTGTAACTTATGTGGCTTTTATAACTTCTAATTTAAGATTTTATTTCAATATCTATATTTATAAAGAATTTAAAACTTAACTTTGATTTAATTTATTTATTAAATAAAAAATATATAACTATTTAAATAATCAAAATAAATATCCACATATATATATAAATATTCATTTTTTTTGTACAAAATAATATTTATATGCTACATATAATTTTCTATCTTTGCTATAGTATTGAAATAAGTATAAAATTTTCTATAAAAGTTTATTATCATTTTAATTTTTAATGGCATGAAAAAATTATTGATTTTTGTTTTTAATTATGTTTGATTTTTAATTTCTTAATAATGATCAGATATAGTTTCTTATTATCAAACTTATAATTAGATAAAGTTATATATATATATATATATATAGGGAGTTGCTAAAGTCACACCTCACATTACCATATCATGATTGATTCTATCTATCTCCATTTCCATTGACATGAGTCCCTTGTTTCGGACCCTTGTGCTTTGTTCCCTATCTTCCAAAATTAATCATCACATGGTTTGGGAGGTGTGGCTTTAACAACTCCCTATGTGTGTGTATATATATATATATATATATATATACGGAACATAATTTTAGGTTTAAGTTATCCTTTAAGTAAAATTATTTCATCATCAACATTAAACAAAACATTGATGCACAAAAACAAATTAAAAGCACAAATTGAATCAGAATTGGAACTCAATCTGAAATGTGTTTGTATCTAAAATTAGTTACATGGGTTCTTGGTAATTGATGCCTTGATGTAACACACTTACTTCACAGTATTCTAAAAATGATTAATTCTTTAAAACTGTATTTAAGGCGATTAGAGAGGGGAAAAAAGAAAAAGAAAAAGAAAAGCATAAACATAAATATAAACAATTAGAAAAACTATGAATTTTTGTATACAGGGCATGTCTAAAAAGTATAAACATATTACTTGAAAACTATGCAGGTTTTACAATCTGTGTCTACTTAGGTGAAAAATTTGAAGGCCCAAAATGATTATCAACCACCAAAACTGACAAATAGTAGTCAAGTTTGCAATTCAGCACCAAAGAAATCAACAACTCAAATTCAAACTATGAAATCACAACCATCCATGGTGGACCCTTGCACAAGATTGAACACTGCTTTGCCAAAAGATAAACAAACAAACAAACAAAACGAATAACTAACAATCAGAAATATCTTCAGGGCAGTAAATGTTTCCAAAACGAAAGATGTGGATTTACAAAGACTAGGGTCGTGAGCTACGCGACACGCGTCTCCTCTCTCTGTGGTTGTGTAGAATAGAAATAACTGACACCACGGTGGACGCCGCAGCAGCGAGACCAGCACGCATCATCAACAAGCATGTAACGTGACAGACTGGGTCAGTGAAGAAGAGAAGACAGAGTTATATCAGAGCGTGAGGTCATACGCGTGAGCGATGAACACAGCTCTACTAACTTACTCAGCTCAGCAGAATCCCTGCAGGTGGGTAAGTTAGAACCTTAACTTTGGCTGTGGCCATGGCATCACACAGACAGCGCCGCTCCTCACCACAGGTAAAGGCACCAGCAGCACTAGATGCAAGACTTTCGATCCTCTTCCTGAGACCTACGCCGCATCCGGACCATGAAAGCTGAGTTGCAACTGAAGCCACTCCGATTTCGTGCGTTGGGGCAAAAAAAAACATGACCTGTCATGTCGCCTTTTGGTGTGTGGGGCAGTGGCGGGTGTGAACACTTGCACCTCAGTTCCGCTGCTGATGACTCCTCCATGGTGGATGGTTGAGGTTGGAGTAGATCTTTGCAGGGTCGTTTGTGACAGGTCAATCTATAACTGTCAAGTGCTCAGATATTACACTTTCGAGGAGTATATGTACACAGCACTAGCAGATTCATTATTGGGAATACAGCGTTTTTCTCGTACTAGATGGATGTAAACATGGGATATTCGTAATTTTTGGTGGCAGTGGAAACAAAAGATGGAATAATGCTCATGGACCTCCAATCACCAGACAAGTTGATTGTGATTATCAGTATTATTGCTATTAAATAAAAACGGATGAAGTGCAATGAGGGTTGGAAACGCTGTGGGTTGGTAAGGACTCCTGCATGTGTTGTCCTCAAGAAACGGGGTTTCTGTTTATGTGTGTGCCATCAATATTGTTAAAAGAAAATAAAATGAAATAAAAATAAAAATAAACGGAAAAGACTACAATGAGAGAAAGCACTGTTGAGGCTGGTGGAAGTCAATATCAGCGGTTTCTTCATGGGTACACGACGGTACTGATCGCCGGCATAAGCATTCAATGAGTACAATTACCTTTACTGCAGATCAATTCGTCACCACTGAGCTTCAACCTATCGATGTCCAATTCATTTATTTCACCTCCAACTGTTCATGAGGCCACTACACAGCTGCCTCCTGTTGTTGCTGACATAATTCATGGCACCTGTCTGCACCGATCTAAAATGGCTCTGGCGGTAAAACAGAAAAAATTCTGCACTTGATTCAGTGGCTTACGACTTTGGCATGTTTCAACCGGTATGAAAAGCCCGACTTGTACGAGTGCTAGTACTACTGCTGATCACCGGTAGTACATGTGATGACGTTGGCAAGAAGAAACAGGGGCCAAGCCCACTTACGGTGTCAGGATTGGTACGATGTCCAAAGCTTGCATGTACACCTGAATTTCCTCGAACCGGGCTTAACGAAGGCGAGCTTGATTGCTTGGGTCTCGAATGTCAAGCTTCTGTCGATCTCAGAGAGTCGCCATCACCGCTTCTCATGAAGCTGGTGGTTGTGTAGTCCTGGCCTGCACTTACAGCGTCACACTCTCCCGCTTGACTGTTCATTTCCGGGAAATAAGAAACGAAAAATTAGGTAGGTGGAGTTTCTTTGTGAGCAATGCCGCGTTCGGCGCTGTACCCCGGTTGAGGTTGCTCACTGAAGGCTACACAGTTATTTAGGGTCCAATTAGAATCTATGGACGTAACCCGAAGCTGTTTAGAGGTCTCCATGAATGGTCTGTTGTGCTATGAACGGGCCCAGCCAGGTTGTCTGAACCGGTACATAAGTCAAAAAGCAGTGAATGTGTGCATTTTGTGGGCCATATGTTTCGCGCTCAGCACGTATCTAGTTTGTTTGGGGTTTTGAGAGATCTTAGCCTGCATTCCGATGTGAAAATTAGCCACCAAAGGATTGAAGCTAGCATGATGGAGCAGCGCGGAATGCGAAATTTGGTCTTATTGTGTACATTGATGTGTGCTGCTTTTGGGGTGGCTCTCTCCGCCAAGAGTTGCAACTTGTTGAAGAGCTCGAAAAACGGCTTTAAAGCTTGTCAGATGCTGCCTAAGCTGTCTTCCACACTGGCGTGGACAATTCACAACGAAACCAACAAGATCGACTTCGCCTTCTCCGGTAGGTCAATGAATTTTACACTTCATCATATTTGTCACTGCAATTACGCCCTCTAAATTGTCTTCCGAACAACTCTTTCAAGAGGCGCCAACATTGTGACGAATGTGATCTATATTCAGGCACGGCGCCGGTTGCCAGTGGATGGGTGGGGTGGGGCATCAACCCCACCGCTGCGGCGATGGTGGGAACCCAGGCTCTAATAGCATTCCAGTCAGGGCAAGGCGCCATAGTGCACAGCTATGCCATAACTGGACCGATAAAGGGCGGAGCGCCTTGCGTTCCGGGAAACCTCAGCCTGGACTTTACAGGAACATCAGTCGAAATCAGTGGCACAGAGATAACGATCTTTGCAACACTGACCAAGAAATCGAATGGGTCCTGGACAATGAACCACGTCTGGAACGAGGGATCTACTGTGGATCTGGACACGAACGCCATCGGACCTCACGCCATGTCGGGCGACAGTGTGGCCTCCGCGTCTATCATCAACTTGGAAACAAACGAAGCATCTGGCGACGTCGAGCTCCCTCACCAAAAGCTTAAGGATGTAAGCCAAGCACTCTCACAGATTATGCACCGACCATTTTATTTTATTTTATTTTATTTTTTATTATATTAATCAATCATAACTTGCACCTCGCCATTAAAAAATCTGCAGAGACACGCCATCATCAGTGCCGTAGGATGGGGCATGCTGCTTCCACTGGGAATAATGGCCGCCCGTTACTTGCGTCCTCTCTCACAAGGCAGCTCCGCATGGTTCTATATTCATGTGACCTGCCAATGCACCGGCTACATTCTCGGCGTGGCGGCTTGGGTGCTAGGGATGAAGCTGCACTCCTACAACCATGGTGCAGTTCCCACCAAACATCGCAACATCGGCATCAGCATCTTCGCAATGGCCACCCTCCAGGTGAGATCAACGTCTCCTAGCTCGACCCTATGCAGCTTGCACTTGCCCCCAGAAATTTTCGAGCTAATTCCATGGCAATGCTCGTAGGTTACTGCGCTAGCTCTGAGACCCAAGCCAGAATCGAAATTACGAAACTCCTGGAATGTGTATCACCACAGTATCGGCTACGCCATCATAATCCTCATCATCATCAACATCTTCGAAGGCCTCGACCTACTGCGACCGGGGGTCAAGTGGACGAACACCTACATTGTGTTTTTGATAGTGTTGGGGGTGATCAGTCTGGTCCTGGAGGTCATCATATGGAGCATGTGGCTGCGGCAGCGGTCCAAGAGCAACGCAGACCCAGTGCACGTCGCCCTAGGGAAAGCCATGGGCTCGAACGCGTACAGAAATCCCGACCAGAAGACCATGGATGTTGTTTAACCCGTGGCTGATCCTGTTTCTCAGTCATTAAGCACATCGACCGAAGACTCGAAGCACTCGCCACCATCAGTGCAAACTTGCAAATCTCTCAGGACTTTGCATCAATTGTGTAGATCCTAATGTAGATCCCACAACCTCAGCCATTTTTTTGTATTAACCATAAGGATTTGCAAGTTCTAGAACAGCACTCCACCATTTCCCGCTCCTGGTGTCGATGCGGCCGTTAAGTGGGTTTCCAGTTTCCGGATTCTTTCGTGACTGCGACGACGATCTCCTTCGATCTTGCTAATCTTTCTGCCATTTTCGATAATCTATCTGCGATAGTGTTCTTCAGGTCTTAGTTGAAACATTCAACTAGGTTGTGTGAATGACCTCATTGAACTCGCATTCTTCATACAACGCTCCTTGCGATCTGACATCCAGTTTCGGAAGCAATTCTTCTAAATCTCCATGAGAAATGGATCTTATTTCTGTGGAAATGAATGTACATTCGCCCTCTTTCTTCATCGAACTAAAGCCTCCTTGAGACGTCACAGAAGATGCTTGGTCAATGTTGAAAGGTGTGTTTTGATTTGGGAAGATGAGTTGAGAAGAGAGCAGAGGTTATCTTCTATGGGGTACAAAGAGCTTGTGGCTTGTCTTGTGTATATATGTAGTGTTCCCCACATAAAAAAATGTTATTTTAATAAATGGTACTTGTGTTTAGAGTTGAATAATGAAGTTTCAAAAGCCAAGTGTAATATTACACTTCTTTGTGATGATTGGAAAACTATTGATTTGCAAAATGAAATGTATGTAAGAGTAACAACAAAATTAAGTTAATTTTTTATACAATTAACTCTTTTCATATCAAAATGAATGTAATTGTATGTTTCTATTTATATAGAAATATACATCTATATATATATATATATATATATATATATAATCTCAATAGTAGTATATAAGATATTGCTAATGCCACTATAGACTTTGTTGTTGCTATCACAATCTACCATCCACATGACATGTTATTTTGGTTTATTTTTTATTCTAATCAAAAATATTTTTGATATTTCTTATATATAATTATGATCATGACAAAATGGTGGTAGTAGAAGTAGCAAAAAGAAAATTTTGATTAAATTTTGATTTAATTTTTTATAGAATTTTAAGAATAGTAAGAAAAATTATAGTGGCATTGGCAATATCTTAATATAATTAAATTACAAAAGAATATTCATTATGATGCAATTATCAATATATCTATTAATGTTAGAATAAATAATTTTTTTAATATAAAAACCATAATTTTTTTTTGACACAACTAAAATATTGCTTTACTACAAGTAAGGACAAAAATACAAGTGTATTGGCCATGGTTGGCAACCACTAAGGATTTTACTAACTAATTATTAATATAGTTTAGTTTTATTTTTATTTATCTTATTTTATTTAATTTTAATTTTAATTTTAATTTTATTTTATTTTTAGGATTAGATTAACTAATTATCATATTAGAGCTTCTGAGATTCTGTCATGGACATACATATTTATTCTAATATTTATCCATATGATTAAATAGAAATAGATAAAAATAGATTTATTTCATAATATTATCTATAAAAGCTTCTTAGAAGCTTTATAGATGTTGTTCTGACTTTACATATATTTCTAGTTGATTAATAGGTTAGAAATGTGGTCTACAAGTTAATCATGTGTTGACAACTTGTGGAACAAGCTAACTATGTGGTGCACATATAAAAAACTTGCTTTGTAAGTTAAAATACGTATCTTGCAAAGTCAACACGTTTTTGAGGTCCTATATGACACTGCCACATAGCTCCTATTTAAGAGTATATATGGAGGTTATAGTGAAGCCTTCTTCACTCTTATCAATACCTTTCTAGTCTTTAGTCTTGTTTCAAGACTTTCTAGTCTTTTTGTCTTTGGCAATAGCTATTCTATTTAATACTATACTATCTTTGAGTGACTTTTTAGTTCTTTTGAGTGACACAAGAGTATATTAAGAATGTTTTTCTTCAAGCTTCATGTCCTTGATAGATTGACAAGAGTACTAACTTATTATTTTTTTCTTGTTGTAGAAATAAATAGATTATCCCACTTCTATTGTTATATTTTGAAGGTTGCGGATTACCAACCTTTAAACAAACTCTTTAGTTTTTTAACATTGATATTTTCTTTAAAGAAAGCAAATTATCCCTCTTTGTAAAAATTTTCATTTAATATTAGAAGTTATAGATTATCTTCTTATAATTTGACTTGTGGATTTATTAAGTTGTTTGAAAGAATATGAAATATCATAGATGCTATACTTGATGATAATAAGAATAGATTTATAATTATTGTTGATCTTTTAGAACTTATCAATATTTTTAGGATAGAAATTCATACACCATAAGGGCCAATTATGGAAATATTAATCTTATGTGTATAGAAGAAGTTCAAAGTGTATGTCAAGAAATTATATAGTTGAAGGAAGAAAGTAAATCAGCCTCACAACTAAATCTAAGAAGTTTTGCTTCTATAAATATGATAGGAATAAGAATTAGTATGCTTGAAAAGTTTGATGGAACAAAAGCAAAAATTCGAAGATTTTTGCAACAAGTGAAGTTTTATCTAAGGTTGCATCTCTTCCAATATTTTGATGGATTTACTCAAGTTGAGTTCATAGATGCACTTCTATCTGGAAGTGATCTTTTTTAGTTTGTACTTTTAATAGAAAATAATTCTTGACTTTTTTATAATTTGAATTCATTTTTAGAAGTATTTACGACCTTTATTTGGAAAAAGTGATCAAGAAAGAGTAGTAGAGACTAAGATCTTATATTTATGACAAGGATTATGATCAGCCACCATATATGTTGCTGAATTCCAAAGCCTTATTTGAGACGTGGATTGGAATGACAAAGCCCTTATCAATCAATTTTGCTTTGGGTTGAAGGATAGCAATAAAGATTTGTTATTGACAATATCAAAGCAAAATCCTTAGAACAATTTATTGCTCAAGCTATTGCATGTAATAATTGATTATTTAAAAGGCATTAAGAATAAAGATTTAGTTGGAAAAGAATAAGCTAAGAAATACCGACAACTCTCAAGTTTTCAAAACCTTATTTATCAAGGCTAAAACCAATGCAAATTGATACAATACGTTTTAAACTCCTCATTGAATAAGAAAAGACTCAACGTTGTCAAGAAGGTTTGTGCTTATATTATAGAAAAATAAAGTATACTAATCAACATTATCCAAAGAAACAACACAATCACAAAATAAGAAGCACAATTACTAAAGAAAATAATGTGTTAAAAAATAAGTTTCTCCAACTACAATAAAGGCCATGCGGCTGAAATCATGTGTAATACCTGATAAAGATCCTATTCTTTCCTTAGATCCTTCATCTTGTTTTATAATTGATGTATATTTAGGACCTAAAAATTATAAAATCTTTATATTATTAGATTCAGGAGCTTGAGCCTATTTTATGGACAAAGAATTTTTCAAAAAAACAAGAAATATCTTCATTTAAGAAAACTAAATACATACACATGAAAGTCACAAATGATTAGATATTTTCTTTTGGAGATATTGCTCATGTGATTGTTCTTTTAGATGTAGCAATTAAAGATCATAATAATATAATAATATTTAATGTGATAAGATCTCCCTCAAATTCTAATTATTTTAGAATTATTAATTAAAAAAATATAATTCTCAAATAGATTAGATTTTTTAATTTTTCTTCTAATTTAATCCAAAATCTTGATAGTAAAGTAAAAAAAAATAAGCCTAATATATCCAAACTCTTGCTAATATGTGTAAGAACTTTCATGCATGCAGCAAAAAAAAGGCCATCTTTTGCTATATATGCTATACCTATTTGTGATGGTAGAAAGATGTCAAGTGGTATTTCTAACCAGTATCAAGATTTCTAGGACGTTTTTAAAAGGAAAAATGAAGGTGTTCTTTTAGAGCATTGATCCTATAATTCTACAATTGATCTACAAGAAGGAATTTAACCACTATTCAAACTAATCTACAACTTATCCTAATATAAATTGGTTGCACTAAAAAAGTGTATTAATAAGAACTTGACTAAAAATATCATTCACCATTTAAAATCTCCAACAAGAGCTCCTATCATTTTTGTGAAGAAAAAAGATGAATCTTTGTTAATATGCATAGACTATCAAGGACTTGATAAGATCACCATCAAGAATAGGTATCTCCTATCTTTGATTTTATGACTTTTTGACCAATTGAATGAAGCAAAGATCTATACAAAAATAAATCAAGAAAGATCATCAAAGAAGGAGATGAATAAAAGACTACTTTCTGAACTAAGTATGGATATTTTAAATATAATGTCATGCTTTTTGGACTTAAATGGATCAACTACTTTTCAACATCTCAAAAATGATGTCTTTTGAAAGTTTCTTGATGATTTTATTATCTGTTATTTTAACAACATTTTAATCTATTCTAAGAACATAGAAGAACATGAACTTCATATTTTTCATGTGTTACAAAAATTTAGAAATGCAAGATTATATGCAAAGTTGAAAAAATATATATTCCATACTATTTAAGTTATTTTTTCAGAATATATCATTTCTAACAAAGAATTAATGAAAGATCTTAAGAAGGTTCATACTATCATAGATTGAAAGGTCTCAAAAAAATTAGAGATGTGTAATATTTTTTGAGATTTGCCAATTATTATTCAATCTTTATAAAGAAATTTTTTCAAGTTGTGGCTCTGTGTACATGTTTGACATATAAAAAGAAACTTGAATGGAGCAAAGAAATAAAAATATATTTTGAAGCCTTAAAGACAACATTTAGTTTTGTACCAATTTTATATTGTGTCAATTTTTTAGGCTATTCTTTATGGAAACAAACTCATTAAATATTACTATGGATGTTATTTTACCACAAATGGAAGTAGATGATAAGTTCTACTTGATTACTTTTCATTTCAAGAAATTTCAACAATTGAGATTAACTATAAGATCTATGACAAAGAACTTCTTACAATTGTAGATTCATTTTAAAAATAGCATCATTATTTAAAGGTTTCTATTAGTCTAATTATTGTATATATGACTTATAAGAATCTCAAGCATTTCATGTTGGCTCATATTTTGAATCATCGCTAAGTCCATTAGAATATGTCTTTATGAATATTTGATTTTAAGATCATATATATATCCAAAAAATAATAAGTTTTATCAGATGCTCTTTTTGGACATTTTTATCTTTTACCTAAAGAAGAAAATATAGCTTTTGATCAACAAAAAATAATTTTCTTGAAGCCAAAGCATTTTCATCTTCAAGCAATAAAATCAACATTGACTATTAATTCAACCTTTGTTAAGCAAATTCAATTACATATATCTTCTGATCATCTTATTCATGATATTAAGATTAATTCTTCTAAGTCTCATGATATTTCTAAGTTTAAGTTTAAGAATAATCTATTCAACTTCTAGGAAAAATCATATATTTCATAAGACAAAGCATAATTAAGTGTTCTTTAAGCTTCTCATAATTTTCTAATAGCCGGATATTTTGGATACAATAAGACTTTGGAAGTAATATTTAGAGATTTTTAGTAGTTTCGAAGCCTTTATACAATCATGTGATATTTTTTCAAGATCAAAAACTTCTCGTTATCAATCTTATAGACTTCTTTAGCCATTAT